ACGGACTGATCATAGCATCATTTAACGGGGGAACATGTTACCGTCCAGCCAGTGCTCTGGAATTCGATAACTCATGAATTCTAACATTCTATGGTCCGCAGTATAGCATCATCTCCAACCAATACGACTGGTGGACATTCCCTACACTATAGACTATATGGATCTTACCCACTCAGCCGCCAATTATTATTTCAGGGTATTTGTTCTGAAGCTAATCACATATAAGTAGAAGATTAATATTCACATTCCGTATATGGAGTGCAAAATTCTTGTAGACGAATTCCTAACCAGCTTCACTTTGTAACGACATTTATATTAAGTGTGATAGAATCTCTACAAGCCAGAAATCTGAAGAAGAAGAAGAAGAAGCTTGCTAAAACCTTGTTTCACTAACACAACTAATTGTCAATACTGTTTTGTAGATAGTCACTGATGAAGAGTGACTTTCTTAAATCTTCATAAGAAGGTTTGACTTATTGATTCCAAATTGTGAGATTTTGAAATCATGACTGTCACGTGATATTATATGACAGTAAATTGACAGAACTTAAGAACGAGCAGTGATTGAATTTCTCTCCACCAGCTACAAGATAACATGCTGACGTCTAAAGCTGATAGCCTTGTGGTCAATCTCCTCTGACTTCATCATATTGTCTTTCTTCCCCTGGGAAGCTAACAGAATGTAGGGATTCGGCAGCAAATGTAGTGAAATGACGATTTGCTGCCACTTTCTTCTACCGGTTTCATACATTGATCTACACAAAGTCACTGCCTCAAATTACTAAAAATGATGAACAGTTAGGGATGCTTCACTCTGAGATGGTAGGTTATTTTACTTCTTAGGTAGACTTCTCACACTTGTGATATAATAAAACAATTCCAACAGTGGTGTGAACACGGGCAGTAATTTCGCTCGAAATATTACCAATAACAAAACTTATCATTGTGTGTAAACTATTGAAATATAATTATACTTTATTTGTTCTTACACTTCATTGAAATTAATCTGAATCTTCAGATGACATATTTTAAAATATGTGTTAGGTTAATGTCTCAGTGGGTACATCCCCACCTACTGTAATTTTGATACATCTAGCTGAAAAATCTCAAAGTAGGATGAAACTTTAATCCTGGATCCTATTGTTAACCATTTTCAACTGGATAAACATGTTTTATATCCAAAAGATACCATAACAACACTATATTTTTGGATTTGAGGACAACAGAATATCTCTTGATTGGACACTAGTAAGTAGTGTGACGTTTCTAGTCCTTTCTCTGGTGCAGACTGAATTTTATCAGTCAGGTTTGCAATGTGGCCACCATTCTAGGTAGCTCGACATCACAGCACAACAGAATATCCTCTATATAGTCTTATTTATTATTTTTTTGAAGTCATGAATCCATATAATCCAAAGTATCATGGAAAGTCAGGATGCTCTGAACTTCTCTTTTGCCCCGCCCCATCAGCACTCAGAATTGGGAGCTCCAGGTTACGGAGATTCAAACCATGGTGGACCCTTGGGTGTACACTGGCATAGATTTCAAAAATAGGAGGACATAGATGTCCAACATTCCTTGGTTGTTAAGTGATATCAGTGCTCAACGAAATCTGCATTAAGATTAATTCAAATCCTTAAAATATCCCTGATTAAATACTTCTTTGAGAATAAACACAGACTCATCTGTTGACCAGAACCGTAAGCCATGCTATCTTCACTTATGCGAAATGTGAAGCCTTTAGAAGTTTGTTTCAATTTGAAGGTTTGTGTTACAGACTGGCAGTAAAATAACAGTAATCGTAACAGAGACAACCACCTAACTGGTTAAGAGAATATTTAATTATACTTTATCTGATATTCCATTCAACATCTTTAATTTACCACTCATTTGCACAGATCACAATCGTTTTAATAATTTAGAATGAACACATATTTTATGTGGGCAGTCTAATTGTGAGAAAGTATCAATTTCATTATGAAATAATTCGTTTGAATTCTATAAAAGCGAATCACAAGCTACAATACTAATCGTTACACAATGTGGTAATAAGCCAGTGTAACTTAACTATCAGTTTATATATAAATAATAATTGGCATTATAAAAAAGGGATTAGCGTCAAAGTTTGCGGTATTCTTAATAAATTGTCAAGTGATTTATTCATTTAAGTCTAGGGAATCACATCTTAATACAAACGTATTGATTAGTATAAAAAGTTAAAAGTCATTGAATTTCTCATGAAGTGACAGAATCGTTAACTAGCAGGCATCATAAGCTGAAGGTTCTAGGTTTCATGCCTATTGTTCTCATGGATGCATAGTGGAAAACTAAAACGAAACAGCCGTCCAGTCCTCCCTGATTTTCAACTGTTCTCCACTTTATTTCTGTCCGTGACGAACCATGTATATTGAAATCAACTAAAATCCGTATGAAAGACTCAAAATCTGAACTTTCTGCAACTATTTTGTAGATAATCTACAAACTACTAATAAGTAGTCTATTTAGGCGGATATTAAAAACACTGATAAGTGAGATACTATATGCATGTATTTACTTTAAAGCATGTGTATTTAATAAACAGGTTAGTATACGCTAATCTGGTGAGTCCTCTTCTAAATTATCGTATTGTCTCTGTCTGAATTATACTTAGAATATTTGAGAGCTGAATTTTTCACTTGAAGTCATTTCGGTTTTGTAATACTTATTATTTCATCGACGGATAAGATGTAACTGTAAGCATACAAATATAGGCACAATCATGTCTGAAAACGTGGATCGAGTTCTGGCTTGAATATACCAGCTTGCCTTTGATCTCTACACCCAACTGTGACCCAGGCAATAGTGGAACCTGAACAAAGGCTAAGTTCTGTAAATCACTTAGCACACCGCAGGAGTTGTAAAACACATAGCCTGGGCTTTGATGATTTTACCACTCAGATTTTTTAAAATAAAAGGAAACTGTCACAACAAAGATTATCTGAAATCATACGCTACAGTCAGTAAAGGTGTTGATGTAGAAAACAAATCATTTTCTGGTGCCTTGTAAGCTTTGGAGTTATAAACTGATGAACTGCAGTACGCAAACCATAAACAAGATTATATCTAGAAAAAAAAATTGAGCAAAGAATATCCCTTTCGATAATTTCCCCTTCTGTCTCTACAGTTATATATATATGTTTATATACCCAAAACATTCTAGAAAAGTCGTTACTAGCAATATTGATGTTTTTAAATACTATTGATTTATTAAGTAAGATCAGGGAAATTACAGTTTAAGAACGACGCATAAGATATAATAAGCATAAAAATGTAGTAGCAAATAGAATATAAAATAAAATTCAGGAAATTTCCACAACAAATTGAGGATCATTAAAACCTTGATGACTAAGGTAAGGACAGTGCCTGAACCAGATTCTTTTAGGTACCTAGGTTAGGTTTCTTTATGTGGATCCCAACGACCTCAGTAATATGGAGTAGACGATCTCTTAAGATAAAATTAAGATTAGTTGGTATGCAGTAAATGACTTTGAAGGCCTTGTTTACATCAATTTTGTGTTCCGTATCCACAAGACGAGATTGCATAGCTCTATGAGTGGATTTCGCTTGTCCTTTAATTAACCACGCAGGGTGATTTTTGGAAATCTTGCTGTAAACGATGAGGCCGGTTTCTAGACTTTATTTGTATATATATCATATTTTGAAATATCCACTAATCATAATCAATATACTACCTATAAAATGAAGGTCTCCTCATTTGAATACAAATATGGGTTTGGAGGATAAAGTAAAATTACTACAGGTTGTCGTTAGGGCCTCCTGTGGACAAAAAAGGTGTATCGATTAAAATGTCTACCTCTACTTTCGTTCCTGTCACTTGAAATATTCATATGACCACAATAGGATCAACCTACCAAACTATTTGATGCAATCGTTAAAATATTTATTTCATCCATTATTGATTAACGAGTTTGTTTAGTCATATCCTGTTTTTAGACAATTTTATACCCTGCATATCATTCAATAAAGTAATGAAGTACGATCAGAGGAAAAATGCTTAGATTTCAAAACTGATCACGAATGAAATTCAGTTAAAAAACCCCTGGAAATCAAAGAGTACTGCATAGCTCTTTTCCTCTTCCCTGGGACTCTTCAGCAATAGGCACCTATAGCATCGGCAGTACATAGTGCGAATCGGTGGAATGAAGGGGTTATTAGATTCCGCCCATTTGGCTTAATGGATACATGAAGGGCTTAGCTTTGATCCATGGTGGATGGTAGGTGTATGTACTGCAGAAGCATCCCAAACAAGAATGAAAAAGCTATCCAGTGTTCCTTGATTTTCAGTGCTTTCCTAAGTGAAACCAGCTCCCATCAATCTTGAAATCAATCAAATCCCTGTCAATCAACACTTGTAAACTTACAGTTTAGAACGATTCGCACTAGACTGATTCTGAGATTTTCAATTATTGGTTTCGTAGGGATTTAGTTTGATTGTATGGAGGATTTCATCATCAGCTGACATCAGTTAGAGAAACACTGGAAAACCTGTAGGGAGTACTGGACAGCTGCTTCCCCCGTCCTAGTTCGGGACTCTTCAGCAGTGCACACCCACCACCAGGGTTCAAACCCAGGACCTTCTGGTTACAAGGCAAGCGACCTCGTAGACCATTGATCCACTGGGACACGATCCAATGGTTCTTGAATTCTAACTTCTACCAATTCACGACACATCGCAACCATTTCGCAATGTCTTCTTCGATGAGTTACTGCCTCACCTTCGACCTGCTGTACCTTACTGGTCACGGCTTCCCACTAGGAGCCCAGGTTAACTGCCTGAATAGGGCCAGTCGCTAGTGAGCATCAGATTAATTTCTAAGATTGACATCACTTAGACAGTTATTGATATCATTCCACAAAATTATAATTTTACCTAAGAATGTTTCAAACCTTGATTTACTATTCTTTTTATTATTATTATTATTATCATTACCTTTTTACAGACACAAGATTTTCTGGACGAATTTCTACAAGAACAAGTCGATTCTGTTAGTAAGTTAAGAGAAATGCGATCTAGGCTAAGATTGGATTCTAGCGCAGTTTATCTAATGGATAAGGAACTTCGTTAAATAATTATACTGGAATCACTGATGATTAATTCATACTTACTTTTCTCATATTTTGTTTGTTTGTTGTTGTTTTGTGTTAATTTTTCTAAACATCAATTCTTTTTCCCATACTGTTCTCTTCTTTTTGTGAGCGTTTCTTCAACTGTTTCAAATTGTTGTAAACGATTATCATTTATTTTCTAAAAATGACAAACAGCCAAAAAAATGAAATTTAGTTTAGGTTTTATGACCATCCTTAACAATAGACTGATTCAATTCTACTATGTTTATTATTTATGAATAAGTATGGTAAGTGTGATTTGTTAACCCTCTGTTATGATTGATTAACTCAGCTGACATCTCTATTTTCTTATTGTTATTTACCCCATCAAATGTAACAAATAATTAAGAGACAATGTGTTTTTCTTTTTCAGTATAAATAATAAAATAATTTCATTAATGTTCATTCACTGGTATTATTCATTCCTGACTTTTTATCAGCATTTTTGTTAATAAATGGAATGTCTAGATATGATAGAGAAGATTTGTAGCTCAAGTGGATGATTTTGATGTGGTTATGTTCTCTGAGCTGGATAGTTAATTTGCGAAGCTTTGGTAGAATTCTACCAAAGATCAAACCCAAGAAGATTTGGATACCTTGCATAGACGAGACATTTGTAATAATCAAAAGAAACGAGTTAGATAAAACTGACAATTTAATAATAAACAACGTCTTCAACGACATCAAATTCACAAGAGAAGAGGAATCCGAGAACCAAATCCCATTTTTTAGACGTCTGAGTCAAGCGAACAATCACAGGGGAATTAGAAACTCAAATTTTTAGAAAATTAACTCATACTGACCAAATCCTGAATTACAATAGCAACAATACAATAACACACAAAAGACATTGCATACAAACACTATTCAAGAGGGCAAGGACTCATTGCAACACTCCCACCTTAAGGACAATTGAAGAAAGATGTCTCATGGAAGTTTTCCAAAAGAATGGAATTTCATCAAAAGATATATACCCCCAAGCCAACCTATCAAACCAACAGCCACCAAGAAATCACAAAGAAAATCGCCTTACCATATATAAAGGATATATCAGAAATCACTACAAGACTCTTCAAACTTTTAGGAATTGACGTTGTACACAAACCAACAAAGTCCCTTCACTCAGTTCTGTGTCAACCGAAAGACTCAACAGCGAAAGAAGATAAAACCAATATCATCTACAAAATAAATCGTAACAACTACGAAAAACACTACATTGGCCAAAGTGGACGTCCCCTTCGTCTTCGTATCCACGATCATAAGCTAGCGGTCAAAAGACATGATATCCACTCCCTCACATCACTACATACAGACAACCACGGACATCATTTCGATTGGGACAACGTTCAAATATTAGATAGAGGAAACAAGAAGAATGCTAGAGAATTTTTAGAAGTTTGGCATTCCAGTGAATCATCAATCAATAGACACATAGAGATAGACAAAATTTATCAACCGATAAGAAAGAAACTTCACACACACATGGTCAAAGTTCAGGCCAAAGAAACAGTTAGTTCCAACACAAGTAACCTAGAAGGTGTGAAAACACACAAAAACAACCAATCCCGTCCAAGGTCACCCACCAGGAGAGATGATCAATAAATTCGTGGAGAAATCTAAAAGCTCACTTCAAATTGAAGTATGCGCTGAAGATGTCACCCAGTAGGGTGATGAAAGCTTCGCAAATTAACTATCCAGCTAAGAGAACACAACCACATCAAAAAATGGAATGTTCCTGATAAAATATCTCCATGTATTGCTACTCTTCTCTACAGTCTCTTTGAGCAGGCTTCACAATTGTCTATAAGTGATCATTTGATCCTATCCTTAGGCTGATGCCCAACTCGTCGTTTCATATTCAAGTTGTCTGGAGTGTGAAATCACTCAGCAGTCTCTTCAGCATATGCCCGAAACGATCCCCACTTATGCTGAGATCTAGATTTGTCAACAGCATTGTCAAGTCCCTGATTCTATATGGTATCTTCGTCAGGAAAAGTAATTCGAACAATCTTCTACAGATTTTCATCATAAGCTGAGTTGGCTTCATAGTGAAAATCAGATAGCCCCGTTGAAAAGGATAAGCAACAAAGATCTCTGGCAACGAATCAACAGATATGCAGAGGGGAATGGAGATGGACTTGACATACACTGTGCAGACTGCCGATTGACATCATAGTCAGTTCGCCTTCATCATCATTGTGTTAAGTTGTACAGCTGCATGTGGTAACTGTCGCAGACATGCATTAAGAGAATACTGAGAACTCCGTAACCCTACAAAGTAATTCGATAGAATTAGCCGACATAAGTATTATTCCCGAGTTATAAAACCGACTACGATTAACTATAGCTCAACTACACACAACTAAAAGGTATTGTAGGATATTAGAAAGACAAGTCGATTATTGTTCAATAGATAGACGGTGTATTTTTTTCTGTTTTAAATTTATTCATTACTCTGAGCCGAATCAATCCGTATCAACTTCTGATCAACCCGACCTTAAACGAGCGAAGCAACTGTCCAGTGCTTAGATTACCTCTATCCTTCTACCAATCGTAACTGCTTAACTTGAGTGATTTTGAAATGAATATATCAATGAGGCAATTATAATTACACCTCTATCGTTCTAATAAAAAAGTATAAGTCTTAAGATGTGACTACGACGATTACACCAGGACCTTTGACATTCACCACTACTAAAAATCACTATTCATGTGTTGGTTTGTAGGGATTTGATTGGTTACAAGATTTCATCATCAGCTGACATTAGTTAGAGAGCCATTGAAAAACCTGGGAGTACTGAACAGCTGTTTCGTCCTAGTTTGCGATTATTCATCAGTAAGCACCCACAGCCACGGTTCGAACGCAGGACCTTCTAGTTACACTTAGGGTGCAGCAGGTCGGGTGTGAGGACAAATACTCGCCAAAGACATTGGCTAGGGGTCGCGCTATGTCGTGAATTGGCAGAAGTTAGAATTCATGGGCCACTGGATTGAGTCCTTGTGGCCTAATGATATACGAGTTCGCCTTGCAACCAGAAGGTCCTGGGTTCGAATCTTGCCGGTGGATGAGTACTGATGAAGAGTCCCAAACTAGGACGAAACAGCTGTCCAGTACTCCCTGCAAGTTTTCCAGTGGTTCTCTAACTGATGTCAGCTCATGATGAAATCGTGTAACCAATCAATATTTTCTGAAGCCTTATATTCCAGTCGGGACCCGAAGGATGAATAATAAAAATAGCATGTACTTATAATATGTTCCTTAGCTTCATTTAATTTCTAAGCTGCTATTAATATCTTCACTCCACTGCCAACTTCATTCTGCAGCATTCAACATCCACACCCTATGCCAAGTCAGACATCAGTAAGCACAACTCTGGTTATGCACCTAACACCACTCAGCCTACATGGTCAATCTACAAAGTCTACCTCACGGGAGAATTTTCCGACTAGTTCGTATGGACTATCTGGTGTAAGGATAGCACTGAGTGCTACGGCCGAAACATTTTCACTTGGTCGGACTCCAATGGATGATCCGGATTCGTTAGAAGGAAACACTGAGATAACCATTGTTGTCTTTCCAGAATGTCTGCTTACTCCACCAACCTACTGCAATTCAAAGTCAAGGATGAGTTCCACCAAAAGCTGTCTAGTTTGCTGCTGAAAGTAAAAGATCACTTTAGCAGTTTATTTCGTTGCTCAAATAGGGAAGCTGCACTAGTCAGAAAACCATATTGGTGCCATCTATAGACATTGGAAACGCCTTCGACAGCCTTAACCTAGAAGTAATTTGAAGACTGATCCAACACAATGGCGTGCATTGCCTAGATCTTTATCAACCTCATTCATCACCTTGCTATATGACAGTGCCACGTGTCAGGTGATCCACAACGGAAAACTCAGTGAAGACTTTTCATTGAATATAAGGGTAAGACAAGCTGCCTGCCTATTCCTAGTTGTGGTGGACCGCATCATGAGTCAGTCTATGAACGGGGGGTGAGAAGACAGGAATAAGTTGGACTACAGATAATAGGAATCTAGAAGATCTGGACTTCATAGGGGATTTATGTTTAATATCACACAAACTGGAAGACTTACAGGAGAAAACCAACAAGCTGACTGGAGAGGCTAGCAGCAGAGACAGCACTCCAGGTGGACATAGAGAAGGTGGTGACGGAGGTGATGAAGATAATCGAACAATAGCAATGACAAACAGCACTAATCACCAACCACGGGAGAGATTTGACAGAGCTTACTTCCTTCAATTATCCAGCTAGGAAGCACGATTATAAACACAGGCGGACATCACGGATAAGGATGTCAAAACCAGCCAGAATCCGAAAGGCAGGGTATACCTTCATCAGTATGAAATCAGTTTGGAAATCTTCTGTACTCTGCCGGTGTACAGAACAGGATTCGGATTTACAGCACAAACATGAAGCCAGTTCTTCTATATGGGTCAGAAACTTGCACTGCGCACCATGAAAAGCATTCCCAATAGACTGCTCTCGCTGGCTCCACACCGAAGTCAAATGGTCAGCCAGAACGAATTAGCAACCAGAAACCTTGGCTGGTAACAAACCAACAGGCGAAGGCGATGCTCAACGAATATTTAGAAGAAAATGGAGATGGACTGGGCATATGTTGAGGAAGACGTTGAGTGACATCCCGTGCAATGCAGGCCATTTCTCCATTGGAATCCGAATGGAAAACGATGAGTGGAGCGTCAAGTGCTAAAATGGAGATCATTTGGCAAGCAAGAAGGGAGAGACTGTGGGCATTTGTGAACCCAACTAATAGGGAGAGCAGAAAATAGAACAAAGTGTAGGTGTACTGCTGAAGCCATATTTTCCACTCGGAACCCAAGTGAACAACAGTCATAATAATAACCAATAATGGAGATGAGCCAGAGCATCTTTCTGCGATCGTTCTTGAATCTAAATAAATGTGAGTATACTGTGCAGCCAAAATATCTAGGGTTGAGAAACTACCTACACATGTGTAGCCATTGTTTTACCTGCTTTGAAATTCACGGTAATTTACAATCTCAACTTTTTTAGTATACAATTGGTGGATGGTGGCTAGCAGTGGAATCCAGCTTGATGCGCATTTCGTCCTATTTGGGACTCGTCAGCTGGATGTACCTCCATTTCTCAGTGAGTGATCATGTTCCCACAGAGGCTCAAACCCAGTACCAATAGTTTCAAACGCCAAAGCGTTATCCACTAGACCACTTGGGCCACGAGAGCCACCTCTTGTGTAACGGGTCATATTAATTATTGAATTGAATTTTAGATTTTCCCGTCGATTGATTGGACTGAAGTGCTCGGTCTCAACTTTTTTGTTTCAATTTTTATACTACTGCTGAATAACTACTAGTAGTAATAATTGTTTCCATGAATTTAATG